CTAAAACCCTAAACCCTATAACCCTTATCGCGGGGACTCCCAAAGAGTATCCAGGGCTTTGCACATCCCAGGGGTTCTCGAAGCGCTCGGCTCGAAAGGGTGTATCCTCGAGTCCTACAAGCCTAAGCTGTAGACCTGAGCCCTAAAGGCCCCAGCCCTTGGCTTTAGGAACCCTAGAGAATCTTCAAGAACAGAATGGGCGGACCCCTATGAAGACCCAACAGACTCTAATCCTTTATACTTAATACGGGTACACCCAAAATTGTACCCCTAAACTTTTGGAAATCCCCTATGCTTCTTAATCTGGAGCCCTAAACCCTAAACCCTAAATGCCAGAGGCTTTTCCCTGGGAGCCGAGCATCTCTCCAAGGCGTGTCGAAAGCTCGAGGACAGGCCGTACGCCGTTGACAGGCTGGTGGAGATCCTGATTTCGAGGTCATAGGGGTATATTACGAGCTATACCGCCAATAGTTGAGAACCCAGTGAAAAAGAATTACGGGTGCCTTTTTATTGGGGTCCCCACACAAAGGATATGACATATCAATATTTGTATTGCGGTCTACATTGGGTTTCCCCTATTTATCGACATTACCAGCGATTACTTCCCCCTGATGACCCCTGGACCCCAGAACTCTGTAGCATCAGAGCCTTTCTGGCTTTGATGGTCTGAGCGAGCCATTAATTTGCTCAAGAAGTATATGAGCTATAGTCTAAACTCCTAGTATCCCCCTTAATACCCCCTATAGCCCCTTTAAGGAGTTTAGACTATAGTACATATAGAATGATAACCGTTTTGGCTCTATGGGTTCTGGGCCATCATGTTACTTTCTTTGGGAGCCCAGGTAAGGGCTTACTTCGAGGCATTGTAGATAGGGTTCAGGGTTTAGGTTTCAGTTGGCAAGTATTTGAGCACTGGGGCTATCACATGGCTTCCAATAGTTGGAAGTATACTTGCTGAGACTGGCAAAGGCACTCTTCACTCTCCCATGCATAATGAAAATTGCGTGGCTAAGAGTTGCAACTTATACGAGGATGATGAATCTGGGAGTGTAGGGTGTCAGAATGTAATGGCTAGGAGCTTGGGGCTTAGCCATGCCGATGTAAGCGCGTAGCATGCAGACTTGAAGCAGCATGCGCTTCAGGTCCTTACGCCTGAGGGCTCATGGGCAAGGCCCTAGCCCGACCGCAGCCGTGCATGAGGGATAGGGTTAAGGGTGGGCGAGACTTGTCGGATTCTGATACGTAGCGGGGGCGCATTCAGAAAAACAAGTTACAAATAAGAAGACTGAGAATGGACAAGCCAATCAGCACGTCACTCCGTGAAAGCAATCTGGATATAGCCATGGCAGTATCCAAGACCAAGTTCAGCATGCCGTGAACAAGAAAAAAGTGCCTAATTAATCAGCTACTTAGGATCTGTGAGCACAGGGCTGCGCACACATCCTCATCTTTGTCGAGGAAGTGGCCCTCGTTGCCTAGGTTCGATTTAGTCTGTCTTTTTGGCAGTGTAGAAGAACTAGACACGTTCTACAAAATGCAATGCCCAGTCTGGACCCAGATGCCACGCTTATTGATGACCTGCAGGGATTCTTGAACCAGATTAAGAATCCCAAGGGAATATAGGGGTTCCCTGCTATAGGGATTTTGTAAGGGCAAATTTGAGAGATCCCAACCTGGAGCACACCGAGGACCTTGGTCGCCTGATCCGCCGGGTCGACGCCAATCACGGGCATGCAGAGCACGGATCGCACGAACACTCCGGTTCCAAAGTAATTTTCATGCCGGGCAGGATTGTACCTGAGTTGATGCGTCCCTGAAGCACACATGTCAACGAGAATGTGGTCAAGTATGTGTTCACAAGTGGAGAATGCACCTTTTATCGCATACTAGGGTACAGCTCGGTCTTCCTTAGGTCGTCGACGTTCATGAAGTGACCTGCATATTTCTCAAGACTCTGGTATGGGATCTCCATTTCGAAAATCCCAGGGAACGAGACCAAAGTTTCAAAGACCTCCTCATAACATTTTGTATGGGGGAGGTCTAAGGAATTTAGACAATTCAGTATTCCCGGATCAGTACTCCCTTAGGATCCCCTACCTACTACAGGGCCGAAATAACTACCGACGGGACCGATTATATTTAGGAGCTACATGAGCCCCCCACTATCTGATGTTGAGGTCTACTTAAGCTGCCCCGTTATTATGCAAGGAATCTGCGACCGTAATATAACATAATATTGGGAATCCGTTTGGCAGCTAAGCTTCCATATTACAATACACCAGATTGAACCAAAACAACATGGCAGTCCTCACCTGTAGCAGCCACCCGGCCGGCAACGCCTTCGCCCAGGCGAAGGTTTCCCTTGATCGTGTGGTCCGAGGACGAGCGGAGGTACAAATGCCCCTTCCTCAGCCACTCTTTCATTTATCAAGGTACGGGGTCTAGGGTGTGGATCAGGGTCGAACTGTGGGCTTCCCTAAAACCCGCACCTTCCTGATCTGCTTTTGCACTGCACGGCCTCAAGGATAGAAGTCTCAGGGTGTGTAGGGTATAGGACCACAGCTTTTCCAAAGTAAGGCTTCCGGACCACGGGCAAATATATTTGGGGGCCGTTCGTGTCATAAGCATCTGAGGCTGCTCCAGGTCGAGGCGACAGATCGAATTTGCAGGGGCAAGCGGTGGATTTTTGAAGGTCCATTTTGGTATAGAAGATGTGTACACTACCTATGTGGAAAAGCCACGCACCTGAAAAGCTAAAACTTCCTTAGACTAAGTTTTTCAGAAGCTGTTCTCATAGAAACAACCCTCAAACTCACAGGAACAGGTTGGAGACTGGAAGGGTTATCTGGTGTTCAAGTTCTGAGTTGAAGGAGCCCTGAAGATTGGTTTTCTCCCTTGTCTAATTTTCTGACAGGTGACGACTCCGAACCCTGAAAAACATACATGTAGGCACCGTTTAAACCCAAAACTGTAGGCGTTAAACCCTGAATATCTGCAGCCCTCGACTTCAAACATTGAGCTTTGGTATCTGCAAGTCTCGAAATACTTGTTATAGCCAGGCTCTCAGATTTCAGTAGGGCGTGCAAGAAACCCTTGCCTTACACCAAACCTCTAAGCCAACAGCCCAAAACCCACACAAACTCAACTGCCAGACGAACCCTGGCAAGCTTAATCCCTCCCTCCAAATGATGAGACACCTCCACACTGCCAGATAAATCGCTCACCACTATTACGTTGATTTGCCTAACGGGCAAGATTTCATCAGAGCGCGTCGTTGTGTTCTGTAACAAAGGGAGCTGACTGCACTCCCCAATGCACTGAACCCTTGCCCCCACAAGCTAAATCCAACCCTCCCTCCCGAAACCACTAGGCTAATATAGGGGGTATGTTTGGGTTACATTGGGGTTATATTAGGGTAATATTGGGGTTCTATTAGGGATAAACCTGTAAAACCCTACCCAGCGTCTCATAGTCAACCAGGAACAGCAAAGCAGCCTCACAGTCTAAAAGTTGTGTCACGCTGTCCACCACGACGTCAAACCTCGGCTTGGAGCTGCGCAGGTACGCGGATTGGATTTAGGGGTCAAGGGTTTAGGATTTTGATTTTGGATTTAAATGTATTTAGGGGCCAGGGCCGAGGGTTCAGGGTCGTGGGTCATGTGGAGTCGGAGTTTAAGGTCTAGGTTAGACGGCCATGTCCGGCTTAGAATTGAGGCAGTTCGGGTTCAGGCAGCAGTAAAGCTACAAGTGAGAAGTGCCTCTCCAAGAAAAGCTGTCCGAGGGTTCATTACTTTTCGGACCATACGATTGTATCTAAACATGCGTGCAGAATTTCTCTTTCACTCACACACACACACGTAAATGATCATGTGCATCAAGACGCCACCGAAACAATGCAGGGGCCGCGGGACGTATGCTTTAACGAGCCGTCAGGTCTACCATAAGTGTACATAGACGTGTCCTGTGCCCACTAGCGCTAACCATCGGTATCAGTAGGACCTTGCGCTCGCTTGCCGATGTGGGAATTTGCGAGAACTACTTTCCAACAATGCGGGTAACTGATAATAATTAATAATTACTAACCTGAACCACCGCTAAAATGTGAACCCAAACACAAGAAAGAATATCTCAGAAAGGTCCTGGGAGCATCTCATCCAAGGCCTTCTCTCTCTTCCTCACCTCGTGTGGGGGGACTGATCCAGAAGAGCAGGCGAGGCTTGTCATATTGAGACTCAAGTTCAGCGCGCTTTCGGATTCCAAGCTAAGTTAGCCACTATGACGATCATTATTACTACATTGTTATCACATACTACTGCTAGTATTGCTGCTATTATTACTAATGATATTGCGACTCTTCCTTATCGATGCAAACCACTAGCTCAGGCCCCCCGTCTCCAGCATGCTCTGATCCTCTGGCACGCCCTAACCCGCAGGTATGAGGGATTTAGGGTTTAGGGCTTATAGTCCCCCTTAGATAGATGGAATATGGGGTATATGGGGATCTTACCCAAAGCCATATTCTATCTACTTGAGGGGAACCATAGGGCTTGGGCTGTTGAAGCCCCAACCTCGCTGTGGTCCATGAAGAGCAGCGGGAACATGCCAACCAAGCAACCTATGCCTTGGACGGGTTCCCATACTTCTATGGGCGCAGCTTTGAGTTGATAAGGGCAAAACAAAAGGCAGCCAGGGCTTTCCGGAGCTTTAGGGGTCCTAACTAGACAGTTCTGAGTAGACTTTCTGAAATCCAATCAGCCTAACACTAAATCCCAAGCCCTAAATTATGACCCAGATGCAGATGCCAACTAGCTGGCCTATGCGCTCGTAGTTCTTCGTGACTGACATGCCCTCCTGCAGAGGGGTTGAACATTCAGGGGTTCAAGCCCTCAGGCCTTAATTCGAGATAGGATCCCTAGCCCTCTGAGTTCCATCAAGACATGTCTCCCCTGCTCAAAACCTCTACACCCGGTGATCCTCAAATCCTAAACTCCACACGCTAAACCCAGAATCCTTCAGCGGGCCCTCACTCCTGAACCCCAAGCCTCGAAAACCAAAAAAGCATACCTACATACCTAAACTTAAGATCCGCGAGTCAGCCGACCACTGGATGGCATGTAAACAATTATTTCAGTGATTATTCAGTGAATATTCTGTGATGCAGGATCTGCCCTTGTTGCTTGCTGTGTGATCTGTGGGTGATTTTTTGGTAATTTTTCGGAGTTTGCATTCGGCTGGGTGTGCGGTTTTCCGTTGATTGTTCGGTGATTTTTTCGGCTGCGCTGCTGCTCTTGCTGTTCCTTGCACGTTTCCAATGATTTTGGGGTTGTTTTCGTTTGCGCCGCTTTTATGGCTGTTGCCTGCACTTTTCCAGGGATTTGTTCGGTGATGTTCGGTTGCGCTGCTGTTCTTGCTGCTGTGTTTCTGTTACTCATCCGGCTGATACTGCTACTATTGCTGCTGCTGCTGCTGCTCCTACTGCTGCTATTGCTGCTGCCGCTAAGCTACTGCTGGTCTGAATCTGCTACTGATACTGCCAGAGCAGGCGGCATTGGCATGCTTAGCCCTGCGACTAGACTCGACCCCCACACTTGCGCTGCTGCATCCTGACAATGCAGATCCTTGCAGCTTCGTTGTGACCAAAGCGACTCAGACTATAATGTAGACATGTCTCAGGATGGTAGTGGGGTAGAATGTAGGAATGTTTCAAGATGATTCTGACTTCAGGGCATCTCAACACTAGTCACCGGAATGAACCATGCGATGTATTTATTCGTAGACATGCATAAATGCATGCAATCGAATCCTGACCCTAAGCCCCTGCTCCCCAACCCTAACTCCTACACCATACGTGCTCCAATCCTAAACCCTAAACCCTGAACCTTGAACCTCTCAACCCCCCACAAAACGGTCCTGGGATCGGGTCAACTTGGGAGCTTGGACCCCATATTTGGCAGCCAGTTCTTCCACCAAGGTCCCAGAGAAGACCCCAACCTAAGTGCTTCTCAGAAGGCTTTGAACGAGTTTTGAAGATCTATGGGGTTTGGGGTTTAGGGAGGGATTTGGGTCCAAGGGCCAGGGCTTTTAGTAGTGCTTTTTCTATCTGTACCCAAGGACCTAGGGATATATGTAGATTCCAACAGGGTCTATGGGGGGTACCATGGAGGAATACGCACCGCTGTGCAAGGATTTGGGTTTACCAATGTAAGGGCCTAGATAATCAGAACAGGGCCTGGGGTATATGATACTGTAAGCAATAATACCGGATTCTAAAGCATACTATTCCAAAGTCAGTTCGGTTTTCATACCTCCAACAGGAAAGATCCCCTAAGAAGGAGTCTTTCAATGGCCACCCAGAGTTTTTAGAGGTCTGTCCTTTTTTGGAAGGCCTCTGAACATCTACGTGATGCATGAAAGTAAGCAAGGTCTGAACTTCAGGAGGAAGCACGGAAGATCTTCAAGAAGAATAAAGGCATCTTGGTAGCCCCAACTCCTATAATTCGAATTTTGAGAGAAACACATGGTGATCATAGAGTTCTCAGTATTGCCTGTGGAGTAACCAAAACCCCCTTACTCAACAAGGGCTGAGCAACCGCATCGGAGAAGGTGTTGCCAAGAGCGGCTGCGGCCATCGTGGAGAAGCCAAACCTCTCTTCTCTAAAGCGGGAGTAGAGCCCGCTCAAACCCCGAAACCCGATAGTCCGGCTTAAGTAGATAGAGTATGGCTTTGGGTATATTATAATAAGATCCCCATATACCCCATAATCTATTCCATATATCCTAAGACCATTGGAGCCAGGGACCCCAGACCGCCAAAGCCAAACACACCCAAACCCTGAACCTTAGCAACCTTAGGGTCAAGGACAATTCCTTGCTGCTGGCCGAGCCAGGAACTGTACACAAAGCGTCGCATCGATGACCTCGCCCAGCAGAATCATTATAGCGTTGTCCTCAGCCATGTCTTTGATTTTAAAGCCCTGTCTGAAGAAAGAGGACTGAAATATTTCAGCTTGGACGACAATTGCTGGATGTACATCATGCGCCCACAAGACTAATAAGGCCATCAATCAACATCAGTTGCCATAATATTGCTAACAGTGGCAACAACTGCTCGCCAGCAGGCAGCCAAGTGTCCAGGACCCCGAAGCCAAAGAAAGGGATGGCCGCTGCCAAAGCCACCATCCTCTCACAGGATTGCAAGCAACATTGCCCTTCTCTAGCGAGGTCTCAGCCCTTGCCCCCTAGCCTTTCCTGTACGAGCACACGGACCATAACAGAAACGAGTAGAGCCTGTAGAGCTACCCCATCCACGATCATGCTACTTGAAGTGGCCCTCGCAGCGGCGACAAGGCCTGTCAGCCTCTGTTCCTACTTGAAGGGTCAGGGGGACGTAGCAAGTATACTTCTAACCTCTCATCTCTATGAGACAATACCCCAGTTACATTATTAACCTACTTACTCAGTCTCCCTAATCCTGTTTAGAGTCCTCAGCTGAGTCTTGGTGGGTGTAGCCTCCTGCTCTGAGGCAAAGGTCTTCAACACCTCCGCAACCTTGCAGCATGCGAGCTTCTCGAAACCGCCAGAAAAAATCCTTGCCAAGGACCATGCATCCTTGGGTCCTACTCAAGGCACCTCGATTTTAGGAAACTCTCATCTTGACACTTCAAACAAGTCGGGCCCCCCAAATACTCCAGTATACTATACTCCTTCTCAACAAAACCCCAGTTTTCTTGTACAACCCACTTTTAGATGCCCGCAGAGCCTGCCGCAAACTGCTGCTGGGTTGAGAATGTGGGAGTGAATGAGAATAGTGGCCCCTAGACTATCTGCTCCAAAATCATCTCTGCAATAATCCCTGTAATCCTAAGCTCACTCACTAACACCATGAACCATTCCCCTAGGCCTAACTTGCAAGTTTGATGTGCTAAAAAGGTACGAGATGGTACTATGGCATCTCTGATCTCTGGAGATCCGTGATGGCATGTGGCCTCGCCCCTCTGCCCACCCTGAACTGTGTTAGACACAGAAGACTCTTGGGGTTTAGGGTTAAGGGGTTCAGGGTCTATGTAGGGGTTATATAGGGATAATGGAAAATAGAATGGAAACTACTGTTTAGGGTTAAGGGTTTAGATGCCTTCTCAGCAGTAGCATCATCCAGCAGATGTGCGATGTGTGGCGCCACCCCTGGGTTGTGTTCCACAGCAGCCGCCAACTCCTTCAGCCGTCAACCCGATGAGCCGAATTTCCCCTACTTCAGGAGTATACCTTAAGTCATATTAGGGTTCCTATTCTCATTTAAGGTCTATTTGTTAATTAAGGGGTACAGGGCACTCTGGGAAAGGAAGTACAGCATGTTTGGAGTAGAAAGTTACAGAAAGATCACAACATGAGGTTATTCTCCCCAATTCTTCAAGTTTCTATATTAACTTGGGTGCAGGGCCCGGGCGTTTATCTATGGGGTGGTTTAGGACTTTCTGAGGTATGGCATCTTTGCAAAATCTGCACACACTTGTGCTTGACTTTGCAACCCGACCATTCAGGAGCATGTTTCCAAACATTGCTGTCCATTCAAGTTCTGGTTATTTCAGACCCTAGTGGTGCTCTTATGTACAATGAATTCTGTAGTTGTCATCATGCTAGCAATGTTTGTGTTAAAGTCTTGGTTCAGCCTTGATTTCTGAAGCTGCAGCTAAATCATCAGGGGCCCTCCCCAAATTCCCCATCAAGAAGGCAGGTCCCTTCACACTGTACATACATCCTGAACCCTGTACCCTACATCCCAAGTTTTAAACTTAATGAGCTCGGAACCATAGACCTAAACCCAGAATCTCAGAACCCTAGGCCCCGACCCTTTCAACCAAATGAAAGCCCGTGAGCAGGGTGGCGAAATGAAGCTGGGCTACACCCCAAAGAGCGCCCCAATAGTAGCTTCCATTTCATTTTCCATTATCCCCAATATAACCCCAATAGAACCCCAATATATACCCTATTATACTACAGTAGTTTCCAGTTTTCCATTATCCCCCAAGACCACCAGTAGCACTCCACGAGTGCCCCAGCTGGAGCACTCCAAGAGCTAAGAGCGCAGAAAAGGCATTCCAAGAACAAATGGAAACTACTCTAGTATATTGGGGTTATCTAGGGATAGTGGAAAAGAAAATGGAAACTACTATAGTATAATAGGGTGTATATTGGGATTATATTGGGGTTATCTGGGGATAATGGAAAAATGAAATGGAAACTACTATAAGTGGTATAGGGATTATCTGGGGGTTATATTGGGGTTATTTAGGGACACTGGAAAAGAAAATGGAAACTACCAGAGTATATTCACTGTAAGCGCCGGCACTCAGAATGCCACGACGTGGCCACGCGTGAGCCGCGGGAACCGTCCAACACGCAAAGACAGTAGTCTATAGTATATTGGGGATAATGGAAAATAAAATGGAAACTACTATAATGGAGAATCAAATGGAAAAGAAAATGGACAACAAAATGGAAACTACTATAATGGGGAATCAAATGGAAAAGAAAATGGAAAATGAAATGGAAATTAGCTCTGCTCCTTGCACGTAGCATGCCGCAAGGACAGAGCCGGAGCGCGATGTGGAGCTGAAATTGCCA